ATATATATATATATATATATATATATATATAACTGCATTAGTCCGAGAAAGAAGTTACCGAAAACAAGCTTTGTTTGCTAGTGTTTTCTTGATAATGATACTAATAATTTTCCTACAAGAGTCACTCCAAAGTAATTAGTATGGGTACAAACGAGATATTTTTGGCTCAGTCTAAGNTGGGGTCCAGTGGTAACGTCACCAAAGTATCGACCCGTAGAGTAATTGCTAACACAAATCTTGGCATCCTACCACATATCGATTCTTGTTCTGTTCTTACTATACCTGTTATGTTCACTTCTATGAGGACCTGTGGTGTCCGTGGGAAACATCACATATCCATCCTGACAGTTTCCTCTCGGCCTTCAACGCAAAAAGGGACGTGCCCATCAAGTGAGAAACTATTCGGCAAATAAAGACGTTTCAGAAACCGATTAATTGAATGAATTGATTTAATTGAATGAAACAGACTTGATAGCATGCAGTCTCATTCACGCATTGCGCACAGCTGTAGCATTGACATATGGAAGTTTCTTGGGCTAATTCGTGACCACAAATTGAGTATCCAAGTGCTTAAGGTAGAAGTCTATTCCCTCAACCGCAACTTTGTCAACTCAACTCCCTCAGGTTCGGCACTTTATTTGGTTATCAACTCACGCGAGTTGATTCATCATCAGATGGACATAACAGAGATGTACAATGGTCGAACACATTTGAAACAACAAATCTGGCGAACCCAGTACTACGGCAACCAGTGTTCTCAAGCAATTTGCCACCTCAGTTTCCGCTATTTTATTATAAATATTTTGCCATGCTTCAGCGATAAATGCATTCCAAATGCTGAAGAGTTTCTTCTTTCAAACGGACCTCAAAATTCAGCCCCACTATTGAGGGCAAAAACATCTACAAAAGTATCAAGGAGTACTTCATACAGCGCGTAATTAACTTCTCAGAGCTCGCAAACCGTCTCTCAAGATGGAGCAAAAATGACCGAACAATCTCCGGCTACAGACAAGATGGGTAGCGCATACTGAAAGGGGTTTTCGGTGACGAAGCTAACAGAAAAGAAAAAAGGCGTGATCAAAAGCTGCATTGCTGAGTTAAAGGGTTTGGATTTTGCGCTTGCGTACGTAGTAGCAACGGTGGCTAAATAGAGCGATATGATTATCGATTATAAGGACGTGTGTATATGCGGTAGATAAGCATATACGTTGTGGATAAACATCCATCACCGTCCAAATAATGAGTGACGTGAGCGATTCCTGTGACACTGAAAAGTCCTTTAATTGGCTGTATAGGCTCACGCATGCTATGCACACGTACAAGCACGCCGTCTTTATCCTTGTCTGAATGATATACACTGCATCGCATTCCTTTATCTCTTGTAAAATGAATAGTTATAAACAGAATAGCGAAACAGTGGATACGGATGACGTGAGCCAAAAAGACTGAATTTATCGAATGAAGGGAATGCTAGCAATTAATGTGCAGCATCACTGAACGTATGGTAAACCTGCCGAACAGTAAAAATGTGAAAATCTTGGGCTTCATGTTGAATCTCACCAAAAACGCCGTCACATATGATGTTTCCGTTTGGCTGGAACACAGAATTGGCGATGCAAACAAGGTCCGGCTGTATAAAATAATA